ATCTACAATTATCTAAGGATATGGTCTTTGAAGTATTGTTAAATCATGTTTTCCTATAATCAATTAGTTAGTTGTTCAGATTTTCATAAAACTTGGAATGTACCATCATCAATTTGCTTTTTACAATAATTAATTTTATCTTTATTCCTTCCAATTGATTTTTACTGTACCCCTCAGCAGATATTTTGCCCCACTCCAAATCAAATACAATTTAAAATTATATTTTATCCACCTGCCGAAATGAGCAAATATTTTAGGACCTCTCAACGCTCAAAGCCGATGCCGCTCATTAAACATTGAAACATAATTAAAGTTTTAGCCGTGCATTGTCGGCCAAGTCCCCGGGGCAAATTGCCACCAGAAGCGAAAACGCCGCACCGTCAGATCCCCGACTAAAGGTTGGACTAATGCTCGCAGCTTTCACGCGCCCAAAAGGTAATTAAAATGCTAATAAACACTCGTTAACTACATAATAACCGTGCTGAGGCGGAACGATGGAAGGCCCAACTAATGCTACTTATCTGCAAATTTACACCCGACACGATTCCTGGCCAACAACAACACGCAGCAGTCTGGGGTCCTGAAATTTGCCAAAATTTATGTCTCAAATATTCGCACACGCACCTGCACCTGAACACACACAAGGATATATGTAGTAGCACATAGCGAGCGGAACTTAGAACTCCGGATCCTGGCTGTTTTGCACTAGTTACCGGTGCGTAGCTCACTATATAGCCTTGGCATTGCTTATTATGCGCCCAACGTTTCGCCTGAAATATGAATTACAAGTGAGATTTAAATAAATTAACTCACGCACATGCGGGAACGGCGTGAACGAGACTAACTACCCGAAATAACGCAGCCTCTGAGCTCGAAAGGAGTTTTGTCCTTTAGCAGGTTCCTTAGTGACGGTGTCCTTGTGAACACTACAGCTCTGGGTGTTTTATTACCTTACATATGTGGATGGTGTGCACTGTACGCACTTGGCAAACTGAATAAACATTTTGAAGAGAGAATATTAGGGAATAGCTATTTATCTAGAGGATAAGGGAAGCTTACTTAGGCCCTTAAAGTATGTTTAGAAAAATCATCATAACTAAGCTAAAAATACATTAATTTCAATGCTTGTTTTTATTAGATTAACAAATCTGTACAAAAATTAAAAAATTAAAAAAAATTTAAGAAGTCTTGACAATTGGAGCCCCTTTTTAAAATTTTAAAAATTTTGGCTAAAATTTTTTAAATTTATTTTTTATATTTTATGTTAATAAATTCAGAATTTAATTTTGATTCGTAATATACATGACTTTTTGCAATCACTGCCTTTTTGGCCATTTTATAGCCTTAGGAAATCGTGAAATATTACCTTTTTTAAATCAACATTTGTCAGTATTATGTGAATATTTTTGGGGCAAGTCAAAGTTTAAAAAATACTTAAAAAGGTCAAAATAGCTTCAATTTCGATTCGGGAAGCTGCTCTGTGCTAGTTTTTATCAGCTTAATAAAACTGCTTACTCCATTTAACATTTACAAAAATTGAGTTTTTTGCCATTTTTTCTTTAATTTTAACAATGTAACCCTTTATAAAATTTTGAAAAAATTGCAAAAATTTATTTTTTTTTTTGACATGGCTAGATCGACTCGCCTTTTAGTGCTGATCAAAAATATATATGATTTATGGGGTCGGAAATGACTCCTTCACATCGTTACAAGCCTCTGACTGATATTATAATACTCTGCAAGGTTATAAAAATATTATACATTCCAACTTTAAACTCCATCCAATTGTTTTCATTATTACCAAGTACATTTAGTTTAAATACAAAACCACTCTTCTGAAAGCCCAATCTGATTAATTAGTGTTAATTAAGTTACCAGGTAGGCGACTTTGTTTTAATTGATTTAATTTTATGGGCACCCCTTGCGCTTACATAAATTAATGCAAAGAGGGCTGGACCTGCAGCCACGCCCTAAGTGTAACCCATTAAGCCGACCCAACACTTCAGCCCAAACACAACACAAATTTTAATTAAAAATGTTTCGAGTGTTTTTCGTGATTATGCAGCCAGAAGCAGTAGGAATTACCCATGTCCTCGAGCCGGCAACTTAGCAACTTGGGTGTTGGTAATCCTGCTCCTGCCGGTGTTGCTGTGCTGTGCTGTGGTTCGTCCTTGAGTAATTCGAAGGCCCGGTCATATTATAAATTATGACATAAAATCTAATAAACTCAGAGCGAGGTCTGAGTTGAGGAATTTGAGATTAAAGTGCTGCCCCAAAAGTGTCAAATATTGAACCCTGGGCAGGGGGTTTGTATTATAGTATACTCCCCGTATTATGGTAGTATATGTGTGCGCTGGATGTCGCAGGAAAAACGAATTCATTATTCAAGCCTATTGTTGGGCATTAAATATGTAGCAAGGGAAAATAGAATGCCGGCGAAGACAAACTTGCAACAAAATTGTAAAGCGAGTGGCGCAGCGATAGCTCAGCTTCCAGCCTCGAGTCGAGTCGAGTCGAGTTCCTGTGAAAAATGGACGAGAAAATGCGGCCGGTTAGGAAAATTTGCATAAAACAAGGGGCAAGCACGAGTGTTTGGCACATAAACACGAAGACCGAATGCCAACAGGTTAGACTTCCTTGCCCTCCCCCTTGGAAAGTCCACCCCGATCCACCCACCATGTGTAGGCCATTATGACTTACAACAAAGCCCAGGTCGCTGGCAACACAGAAACGAATTTGCATAAATAACAAAAAACATATTTAACCCCCGCACGCTTTTGACTTCTGCTCCCTGTCCGGGGTCACAGTTCATGCCCAGGCCAACTCAACCATGGGCATGGGCACGACTGGGGGCCACAATCTGGAAAAACTTGGCCAGGAAGGACCCGAGCTGTTACCTCGCCGCCATTTTTCCTTCCTCGGCTTTATTTCCCCCTTTAAGCGCAAAATACTCTTGGTTTTGGGAAATTTGTATGTATTTATATAATATTAATTTATAAGATGTAGAAAAAATAAAAGTGCAAGACCTAACTGCTTTAATATAATTATATTGCATTTGGACTTACTTGCTAATAAACTTAAATACAATTTAAATTAAATACATTTTCAAGGGTATAGAAACTTCGATTTACCAAAGTCTACTCTCCAGATCCGCGTTTCTTTTTCCTTTCCAACTGCCGCACATAATTTAGAGAAACGCATTAAGGAACCTTGGGAGCTGTGTGTGTATGCTTGTGTCAGCTCCCGTATCCTTGGATAGTCCTGGGTTCCTGACTCAAGACAGTTGCTGCCGGATTTGGCTTTTTTTGCTGGAGTCGACTGGTTTTTTGACTCTGCCAAAGTATGCATGCGAAAATTGTTTGTGAAAATGTGGCGGCAAATATTTGGAATGAATGCAAAGCGGCAAATAAGCGACAGGACAGCGACAGATTCAGGATGTGCCAAAAAAAATAATGGTTGCACAAATAAAACAAAAAAAAAGTTACGAAATTCTTTTACTTATTTTTCCGTGGAAGTGCTTAAGGTGGCAAAAATAAGGAACTGATGATGGTGATGATGATAAAAGTTAAAAGGTAGTGTGTTTTGATAGATATACTTACTGATCATAGTTACTTATTGGTCTTAGATACTCACTGTTCAGAGTTACTTACTGCTCATAGTTAATTACTGATCATAGTTTTATAAATAGTCCGATTGTTCCTATGTCAGCTATAGATATGTTTATATATACTTCTGCCTCTCCCCCTCTCTCGCTATGTTAATCGCTGTATGTTAATCACTGTATGTTAATCGCTGTATGTTAATCGCTCTATGTTAATCTCTAGAGGCAACTCCTTCTCTCCCGCGCTCTCACACTCACTTTCTCTGCTCCACTCTCTCCTCGGGAACTATAAATAGAGGCGCTGAGGTCCCGCGCGCCTCAGTCTCTCCTAGGGGTACCTAGTGTTAACATCGATAGTGATAGTGCAAGTGATCATCCTTCAACCTCAAAAACATGACGTGGCCAATGCAATGGATCTGGATGACCAGCATGGAGCTCAATTGGATGAAGTCACCCAATCTTGGTCACTATACTGGAAGGAAGTAAGCAATGACGAAAGAGCCACGTGTCCTCTACTGCGGTAAGTCTTAACCATGACATTTGTATTATGTTTGAAGAAGCTATTGGTGGTATCAGACCTAGGTCTACACCCATTTACATACTTACTTACCCCTTACTGATACTTTTACATACATTAGATACTTACATAGTTACTTACTGGTCGTAGTTACTTCAGAGTAACTTTATGTTCATTGACACTTACTGATCAGACTTACTTACTGCTCATAGTTACTTATTGATCAGAGTTACTTAATGTTGCAAAATATATTCTGATCCTCTACATTTATGCACATGTGTGCATATGATTTATTGCAAGTCATTGTTTATTTGTGTTTAATGTTAATAACTGATTATAGATACTTTTTGGTCATAGATACTTACTCGTGATAGATACTTACTGATCATAGTTAATTACTGATCATAGATAATTACTGATTATATTTACTTAGTGATAATAGTTACTTAATGTTCATTGATACCTATTGATCATAGTTACTTGCTGGTCATAGATACTTCTGTTCAGAGTTACTTATTATACAATAATATTATGTTTATTGATGCTATAAAAATATAGGTAAATATCGATTTAAAAATTCTTATAATTTAAGCTTGTTTATGATCAATTTCCCTTTTCGATTCAATAGCTTAATTGCAATCCGAAGGGATATTTGATCTGCGGTTGCCCAAAGTTTCTTTCCTTGTTAATTTAAACTTTTTTTGGTCATCATTATATATTTGAAAACAATAATAGTCATAATACATTATAGCTTTTTTTAATAGGAAGATAGTCACGCTGTTATTAAAATATCTACTATCTTTATTAATTTATTTATAAACAAAAATTTCTTTAAGTTAAAAAAATCGGAAGAATCTTGAATGGAATACGTATTAAGTATACTTAATCTTCAAACTGTGGCTTCCAATGGCTTGGTATATTCACCTCGTGGGTTTCGCCCAACTCTAGCAGCAGGACTGCCCCATTTTTATAAGTTTCTATGGCCCGTACCAAGCTCCTGGCACATTGCTCTGGCGTTTGCTTCTTTATCTTGCTAGCCATCATGGGGGGCTGGTAATCGAAGGTCGTCTTGTTACCAATATCGTCCAATAGGCCAGTTTTGGTAAAACCCGGACAAACGGTTATAAATCCCACGCCCGAGCGGTCATAATAACTTGGGTGCTAGAAAATATTTCTGAAATTATTCTTACTGTTTTACTATTTCATACCTTCGAACTTACAGCCAAGGCCCTGGTAAAGGTGGTAACTCCCGTCTTGGTCGCCGAATAAATGGCCATTGTGGACGTAGGCTGCAATCCAGCTATCGAGGATATATTCAGTATTAGTCCACCTTTTCCGCCCTTTGTCTTGTCCATGTACTCTAAGGCTGTCAGGCAACTGTAAACTACACCCAGCTGTTGTAAAAAAGTAATTAATCAGAAATTTTAAATTTAAAGTATAGATCTTCTTACCAAATTAATTTGAATAGTCAACTCGATAAGACGATCATTCATAAGTCCACTGCCATTGACCACCACATCGAAGTGACCCAATCTCTCGACGGTGGCCTTGTACGCCGCCTCAATATCCGACTTCTGGGTAATGTCCACTTTTTGATAGAATATATCCGTGTTCGGATTTTTGCTCTTCCACTCATCCAGAACTTGTCTATTTTCTGTTAAATCAAATATTGCCAGGGACTAAAAGCAAGCAATTAATGTTTGTCAGATCAGATGTTAGATAAGTATTTAATTTAATTAGTACCTTTATTTTTCTCTGTAGCAACTCCTGCACACATTTCTGACCTATGCCACCAAAGCCTCCGAAGTAAACCACATTTTTTCCCGACAAATTCATATTTGAAAATTTAATTTCACTTTCAAAAGATTCCGTGCAATTTAGACGACGTCTAATTACAAACTGAGATAGTCACAGACCCCCTTGAACTAGATGTGATGTACGTTGAATACGCAGTATTTTATTTCCCTTATCTTCCATATTTATACCCTTGCGGGGTATTCTAATTGAAGTCAGAAGCTTGAAACGCAGAGACGCACTCACATCCCTTATAAATCATTTATATTATTAATCAGCAATAACAAAAATGTATTAATTTTTAATTTTTAAAACTCATTATACTCATTAATCTAACAAAAAGTAACAATAATAAGCTTTCCGATTGGAAATTTATGCATTTTTGTCTTAGTTATGAAGATTTCCATTTACCAGTGTATAAAAACTTCGGCGTGTCTAAGTTACATTTTTTTCTTGTTTTACTATCGCTTCAAGACCTTTGATACGTCACAGTACAACTATATTGTTAGCAATGTTTTTAGCGCTTTTATGGGGCAATTATAGTGGGAAAGAAAACAATAACAATGACATAGTAAAAATTACCTCGTATAGATTATTATAAAACTAGGTCGTTGCTTTTGACAATTTTTCCTTGATAATAGATAAGACAGAGTCGCCCATCTGTCTGATATTTCCGCTTTTCGCTCAAAGCGTTTAATAAATGGTCTTGCTATCAATAACATCTTGCGGCAACATCTTGAATGCCATTCGGGGACCCAGGATACTTATCTTGGCCAGCTCTGAATAGCCCTCCAATCAATATGCTCCTTCCGTGGACCACAAGTTCCGTGTCTCCAAGCGGCGTTCAAATAGCAGGCCAAAAGCCCGGCGATAATGTTGCTGCGGTGTGCAAAGCAACAACATGCAGCAACAACATGCAGCAGCAACAACAGCAACAGACGGGAAAAACCGCAACAGCAGCAGACAGTTGCGTCGCCAAGTTAGACAGGAACGGGCATAGAGGAAGCAATAATTTAATTCTGCATTGCAAATGCAAACAAATTTCGCCAAGCCGCAGATGCAACAAAAAAAAAAGGAAAGAGAAAGGGGGAAGAACAGAAAAGTGGTAGGAAAACTTAAACCGCAGCTAGCGACAAAAAACTGCAAGAAGAAACGGCAAAACACACAACAAAATTAAATCATTTAAAGATTATTTCTTCAAATTAAATCCTGGTAAGTATTCAATTTTATTTATTCAATATTACTATAATATGTTATTTATTATAGCAGAATATTTAAATATTTAAAATGTGCCTAAACTTGGCTAAAGAAATGTAATATATATCATCGACTTTCTTAGATATAACTTAAGATTTTAATAAATCTTTCTCTGAGTCTTATGATACAATTTTTGAATCCATAATGAAGTTATTTGATAATTAATATAAATATCTAAATATAATCTTAAAATTCCTAGATATAAATCTTTGCAATCAAGATCTTTAAAATGTATTTGAAGGAACCCCCTTTAATTTCTTCTCTGTGCACAATGAGATGCTGCAGGAAAAAGGATAACGCGACAAGGAGCGGTGGCAGCAGTGAGTGAGTGTTTATTTTATAGCCCGCAATGGAGTTGCCTGGCCATGGAGAAAGGACGAAGGAAGGTTCGAAGCTGCCGGATCTGCCGGATCCCATTTCCCACCTAACCGACAAACGCTTTGCCCTCCGCCGGGCTCTGCTCTGTTATTATTGAAGAATTATTACGCGATGGTGTGGGGGCGAGAATCCTGGCATCCAGCATCCTGCCGGCACAACTTGCCAGTTGCCAGTTTGCCAGTTTTGCCGATGTTGGCGACTAATAGTGCTGAGCCCGCAGAGAACAAAAAAAAAGTATATATCCTTGCAGCAAGCAGCGTTTGCTCTCCTCTCGCCTCTTCATTTTTTCCCTCAATTTATACATTTGCGCATAAAAAGCAAGTGTAAAAGTTTTGCATATTCATGGCGCTTTAAATGTCGTCGCCAAGCCACGAGGATGGCGACGTCTGAAGTGCAGCAGCAGCCACAAAGGCAAAAAGCAACGCACCAACTAGCAAAACAAAAAAAAAAACACAAATAGTAAACAAAAAGAAACAATAATAACCAGCCACTAAAGTTAGTTATGTTAGATACCCTAAGAAGAAGGTAATCTATATTTTAATAGAATGTTTGCTGACGAAGTTATGTTTGCATTTATATAATAATTTATGATTGAGGATTCAATTAATTACCTTTAGCAGAAAATAAAGAAATATTAATAAGATTTTAAAATTAAACTTATAGTAATAAAAATAAAGTACAAACTAAACCTATTTGACCCACTTCTGGCTTTACTTTCAAAGTTTCTAACTATAATATATTTTAAAATATTATAAAATATAGCAAATTCACATTAAATTTCTTAAAAATTAAGCCAAAGCAAAACATGGTTAAATTGTATTTAATAAATATATATTATAAGCCAACGCTTAGTACTAATTCCAGGGTATTAAACCTTCTACTCGCCTTCTGGCCAACTGGTTGTCTACAACCTTCAACTTTTTTATGCTGTTGCATGCCGCAGTATCAGTCCTCGGGAAGCATGCAGGGAAAATATAAAGGGGGAAAAATCCAGGGAAATGGAAAAACAGGGCATCAACGGAGGCAACAACAAAAAAGTAATAACATCAACCATAAAAGTAGCTACATCAGTTGGCAGATGGAAGCAGCCAAAGGGACTGAAATCGGACTGCAAAAAGAGAAGGGATAATATATATATATATATATATATCTATACGGAGTAGACAACCGACTGCCGCAGACATATTGTGTCTGCAAAACTTTGTTGACAAAAGCAACAACAGCAGCAACAACAATAATATGAACCAACAAAAAAAAAAACAAGACGATGAGGAAAACAGATGGGGAAAAGTGTCTCGATTTTCCGTTCAGTTCTCGCCTCGCCCGATGCGTGATAAAAACCGCGCAATGAAGCGCATGTGAAAACAATGAGATTATTGCTAGAATTTATGTGAGCTCCATGAACTTCATTCTCCGGTCTCCATTTTCCATTTCCCGCATTCTCAATTTACCGCTCCCCCACCCCACCCCAATCGCAGACAATCTTTCTCGTGTAATTGCCGACATGTCAGCACATTAAACGGCTATAAAACGGCAAGCAAAACTGGCAAATCAAAGGCAACTTGTCCGCATCAGAGGCGAACTTTTCTAATTTATGGCCATTTCATGGGAGGGTCGTGCATTGTGCAACAGTTAAGCGCCGCCGCCGCAACTGGCCTTTGAACTTTCACCCGGACCACATTTACATGGGCCTTCTTGCACCCTTCACTCCCACCCACAACTTCTACCCCTTTCCATTTGCGGCAATCTCACCTGAGAAATGGCCTCGGTCCGGGACGGTCTCCTCCGCGCTCTGGTTACGTGGCTCCACAATTTATCATGGCACTAATGAGCATGAAATAGGACAAGGTTTATTAAATTTCCCTTTTAAAATGTGCACATGCCAGGGCACATGGCAGTGCAGGAACAGGTGGAAGAGCCAAGAAAAGGACACATGGCAAAGCCGTTGATTTTACAGGTTGTTAGGTCTTGGTTACAAATATAAAACAGAAAAGCTTTTTACCAATTTTCCCTTATTATTTATTATGAAATTAAGAGTTTATTTAATAAGAAAGAACATTAAATTAAACTATTTCCCAAATAAAACTGACTACAACATATAAAGAGCTAGTTGTATGAAATTATATATATATTTAGGATTTTAAACTATCTATGATTTTCTACAGAAAACTACATTTTTTTTCAAAATAAATATTTACAAATCTTCATACAAATTTCAAAAAATTCGTCTCTATTAATTAAAGAACATTTAAACTTCCATCTTACTACTGAACCCTACTAAACGAAGGCAACAAGTTTCTTTTTGCTCATCAGCAGCGAGGAGGCAACGTAAGTGTGGCGCCAATGGTTTCCTTAGCGCTCAACCACCACGACAGGAAATACCAGGCTGAAAGGAAAACCGGAAGCCACCCACATTCGGTTCGGCGCCCCCCCCCCCCCCCCCCCCCCCCCCGAGCACCTTTTCCTGTCGCCTCACAAAGTCCAAGCAGCTGCTGCCCGGCGGGCAACGAAATGAAAAATGTCCGCAAGTGCGAAAATGAATCTGCCTCATGTTGCAATTTATTATGCCAACATAATAAATATTATATACAGTTTGTGTGAGAAATTGAAGAAGAAGAACCTCGCTCTAGGGAGTCGTTTCTTTCGTTTTTCTTTTAGTTCCCTTTTCTTTTTTTTTTAGGGTACTTGGTCGTATGAGGTAGCTACGAGTCCATTGGGTGTCACAGTTTCCTTCTTTTCCAGACTGACAGTTGGAGAAATGTTCTGGGAGCAAATAATGTTTGGACTGTCCCACTTTAGATATTGTTTTTCCAGCAGCTTTTCTCTTTCCAACTAATTATAGGTAGGAAAAATTAGATTTCAGGCTAAGAGGAGCAGCAAATTGGCTAACTAATGGAAAAATCTTGTTAGTAAGAAGTATAATTAGTTAAAAATTAATTTTAAAGAACGTGGTCAATGAAAACTACTAAGATAACACATGTGTAAAATTTACATATTCCCTACAATATTTATTTAAGCTTCTCATAATTGTTTATATCACGTTTAGAGCTATTTTTAAACCAGACTTTCAACCCATCAAAATCAACAATGACTGTCAAAATCTATGGTGCCTTCATTGATATTCAGAGTTAAACACTGACTAAGTAATGCAGACTTACTGATCCAAATCGGTTAGCTTGTTGATCTTCTCATTTACGCCTACACTTAGGCCTTTTTTCCATCCCACAAAGATGTGAATATTTCGTCTGCACGCAATTTCTATAAATCATTCAGATTGTCAACATGAATTCATTTCTTGTGCTAGCTCCTTGTTGTTCCCAGAAAGCGGAAATGTCCAAGGGGACAGGTGGCTGAGGATCTGGAACTGGATTTTGGGCGGGAAAAGTTGCGCGGCATTGTGATTTTGTCAGCCATGTGTGGGTGGTGGCTGTGTGCAAATATCAGTAACAGTTTGTGTGGTATCCTTTTGTCCCTCCCTTTAGCTTTGCGGTTTGCAGCTCTGTTTTGCTACCATTGTTGTTGTTATTCAAGCAAATTTATTTGCCTGCTGCCAGTGCCACTGCCAGTGCTATTTGCTTTTCATTTCCGGCCACGTCGACAAATCACAAAACAACCCGAAAAAGGATATTATCTGCAGCACAACGGTTCGCCTCAGGCTTCCTCTATTTGTCTAAATAATTTGCAAAGCATTTTTCGTTTCATCGCCAGCCGATTGTGTGTGTGCGAAGATATTTTCCCGCTCTCTTAATGGTCATTTAAGTGGTCCTCCTTGGCTCCCCGTATTTGTGTGACCTTTCCATCTTGATCTTGGTTGTTTTGGGGCCGGACCCAAAATGGGTAGCCGTTGTCCACTCAATTTTCCACTCACGTGTGCAAATAGAAAACCAGAACTGAATACACACACATGGAAAAAAGATGTGTAGCATATATAATAAATATAAATAAAGAAGAAATCATTATCTTTTAGTATTCCTTGAAGTAAAACATACAAGGTTTACTTAACATAATAATAAAAGAAATTAACACATGTTCTATACATCCCATATATTTCTAAATAAAATCATATGAAAACGAAGAACATTAAATCTCCTCATATTGTTAGCTGTTCTCCCAGTGCAGTCCAATTCTTGTCACATTTATAATGCTAATTGTTTGACCAAATGTTTGCGTCTCCGAAATTTCCACTTGTCATCCCAATGATGATGGCTCACTTAGTTTATAAGCGATTTGAAAGCGAGTTAAAGCCGTGACGCCTACACCTGCTGTTAGTCGTTGAGAGCACGATGTGGACTACGGGTCTACTCTTGGCTTTGGGCCTGCTCAGCCTGTTACCATTGGGACTCGGCTCAGACTATCGGAATCTCACGGAGTTTATGAAGCATCGCCAGAAGCGCTGGTTGATCTATCAAAATAGTGGATCTATGAAGTTCAGCATTGGCCCATCGCTGCCAATTCCGCTGGAGGATAAGGTGACCTTTCGTTCCTGTGTCCTTTCGTTTACGCTCCAAGGTGGCACCTATAGCCTGCCCACATCGCCCATTTGGCCGTGGGACAAGTGGGAGGGGACCTTCGCTCGATCCTTGGTGCAGATGAAAAGGAATATCGAAAGACATACAGCCAATGGAGGAGTCCGATATGCAGATGATGCCAGGCTATTGGTGTACAAAGCTCTGGAGGAGTATATGGGCAGAAGGAATAACGATTTGGGCATGGGAAGGCAATGCCTGCTGCGATCCATCTGCGAGAATGCTCAAATCCATCATCATATTGGCGTATTCTCCGAAATTATGGATATTATACTCAGGTGAGTCTCCTAAAACTAGGTAAACTCTGTTTAAGCCCTGATAATCTGACAATCGACTAAACCACTTTAGCCCCGGCAAAGCCGAACTGGATAACTCCTATCACGAGGCCTATGCAGCCGGAAAGGCAGGAGCCAATTGCCTGCAGCGCTACAGGACCTGTCCACGGGGTCTCAACTTCCTTGACGGGCTGCTGATTGTGGAGGATGATTGATTTACTGCCGTTGCTGCGGAGTACTAAGCGAAGGAAAATGGGGATCCGCAATAAAGTTTCCAGGCAAATCAAAGTGCATGTCTAATGGGTCTTGTCCTGATGTCGGAATCCGCTTGTTCTTGCTGCATAATTTGGGGCGGAAATGCACGGAAGCATGTCTGAGGGGCAGGAAACTGTGTTGACTTGGCTCAAGGATGAGCATGTGTGCATATCGATGCAGGCTTGCCACAAGCACATGCTAGGTTTATGCGGGATCCGATTTTGGAATATATTTAAAATAATGTATTGGGGGTTATTCTAGATTGTGAGATAAAGTTTAGAGCAATTAATAGGAGTCATATATTAGGAAAAAGTAAATAGAATTTAGAATACATTTCAAAGGCGTTGGCCTTCTTTTATGTAATTTAAAAAAAAATAAAGCCATACAAAAAATAAAATAAATAAATTAAATGAAAATGTTATATTTTCCGCTTTAATAATTAAATAAGAGACTGATCAACAATATTTTAATATTATCTTATTGAAGACAACATTGCGTATACTTAATGTAACATCTAGACAACATTGCGTGTTGGTGTTCTAACCAATTTTTTTTTTTGTCTTTTTTACATTTATTAAAGTAATTAATTAAAAGACTGATCAACAATATTTTAATATTATCTTATTGAAGACAACATTGCGTATACTTGATATGACATCTAGACTACATTGCGTATACGCTGCGTTGGTGTTCTAACCCATATTTTCTGCCCTTATTGACATATTCTTTTCTGTTATCGTAATATTTGCCACGTGTAAACTCAGCAGCCGCAGACATTAGTTACCTATTCCTCTGCGCCATCACAAGTTCAAACACCGCAAAGTTGTGCAGGCCGCCGCCACTCCCCCCCTCCTTAACCCGTCTCCACATCTCCCTCGCTAACTGCACTTTGCATGGCTCCCCCCTCGCATGGTTCAAGCTCCTCCCCCCGCCCCCTGTTTTCCGCTGCATGGCGCTCCTCTTTCGTTGTTCGCGTTGTCATAATCGCATTTGAATTAGCTTTGCACACAAGACGCAGCTGATGCGAAAGATGGCGTCCACACAGGGTCACCGTAAGCCAAGACATGAGATATATCAAACTTCAAGATATTAACAATAAATTAACAAACCAAAAATAAAGCGAAATGAAAAGGTTTGCCAGATTAAAAATATATATATATTTAAATGTAGTATGCAGAATTGTAACGCTTATAAAAACATGCACAGTACAGTTTTCCGAATTGAAATTGATTTTATTTTGATTTAGTTATGGGTTTATAAATATGATTTGTGCAGAAATTATCACTGGAAAATATTGATAAACATTAATTAAAACAATGCGAATATTTAAGGACTTCCTGAGAGCATAAAATGCTCAAAAATGCAGTGATTTTAAAAAGTCATATATATTCAGATTCGTCTTTAAAATCTATTTAAATTAGAAATAATATATATCAAAACAATAATTTTTAAATTTTTGATAAATTTTATAAGGGGTTACCATCGTCAAAATGTTCAAAAATTTTGCCAAAAAATTTAATTTTTATATTTATAAACTTAGTATGCAGATTTATTAACATAATAAAATCTATTACTGTAAAGCTTTCCGAATTGAAATTGAATTTATTTTGACTTAGTTGTGAGATTTTTAAATTTTAATTTCTGCACAATTTCAGTAAGCTGCACCCTGTATGGAGACCAAAGAGCCATTTGCCTCCTCCGACGGCACGGCGTCTGCAAGCCTAATGTGCCACTTAAGACGCATTTATTGTCTTTAGTTGGTGTTGTTGTTGTTGCTTTGCTGGGGATGTGAATGTTGCAACCGGGGTGTGTTGTTGGCGGTTCTGCATTTTCCATTTAATTGACGCCATTGTTGACAAAATGGCGGTCGTGTGCTGGCTTTCGCTGCATCGCGTTTGCTGCTCCTCCAAGCCAAAGTTGCAGCCAGCCACAAGCCATTAATGTTAACGGATTTTTACCCGGGAAGCTGAGGGGCTGCACACGGTCATGTTTCTGGTTTACCAGAAACGGAACTGCCAGGTGGAGCAAGAGGAGGTGGAAGGCGTGGCAGTGGCTGCAGAAGCAGCAGCACAAATCACTTGCAATTAGTGTTAAAAATTCAACGTTAAGCCAAGATGCTTGAGACTGATTGTGATGGGTGTAAAGTTGACGAGTGATTGCTGTTGATCTAACCGAGAACAGCAATAATCAAAGTAATCGGGGAGTTATCTGGATTTATTTTGAGGTTTCACAGACAATCATGGAAGTAATAGAATATATGTGGGAATTAATTATTTACAAATACTTTAAGCTTTGCCCGCAAAGCTCTATGAAATGTTAGTAATCCACTTCAACTGTATAGGCATCCAGAACGCTCTCACCCCTTGGACAAGCCGGAAATTGATCCAAGCAGTCGATGCCAGCTCGTCCTGCTCTTAAAGCATCTGTATAGGCCACATCCATACGCGTTTTACCAGGTCTGTAGATATATATATTAAGAATTTTAAATCTATTTAACTTTAAAATAAGAACTCACGTTAGCAGAACGTTGAGCAGTTCCGACATGATTCCCACATGATGTTGTACCTGGGCATTTTCACAGATCCCGCGTAGCAAACACTGACGACCTTGACCCACCGTTCCACTGACTTGGTCCATGTACTTCTCCAAGGCAGCATAGACAAACACTCGGGTGTCATCCTCATGCGTTTCGTCCAAGCTCCTGATCTTTTCCTGAAGAGATCGCTGATAGATGGTCTCCCATTTGTCCCACGGGTAAAGTGGAGCCGATGGCAAGGTAAATGCTCCAAAGTGGAGCACATAATAGTAGACCATACTGCGCCAGGTCACCGGGTCCTCCAGTTGGGTGGCCAACACTGGACCCACCACCAAGCGGATGGTGCCACCATTCCTATAGATCAATTGATGGCGCTTCTGTCGGGCGTGTAAGAATTCCGTAATATTTTGACCCAAAGAAGGAACCACAGTTTCGTAGGCACCACTGGCTAAACGCAGAAACCAGCCTAGCAGAAATATCCAAGTCAACAATTGCATTTCAAAAGCGTCTGGCAGTGGCACAATACCTTTCCAGAATGAAGAGCACTGGAGTTGGGCACCGATCTGCGCTGCGTTGCGATTGAAATAAATATTGATTCGATCAATTAGCATCCTAATTGGGGTTATAAAGACATCCAGAATGTGTGTGCCTGGCCCAGCTCTCTTCGCTCTGCATAAATAATTTTGTAAATAAATACAGTCAGTATTCTGGAAAAAAGAAGAACAAGTAAAACCTTATTAAAAAATTCTTCATAAAATAAAGTATATACTAACCTAAAATAAATGGGAAAACCTAAATTGCACCCTTTTTAAATTTCATAAAGACACAAGACCAAAGCGTAATTATATTATAAAGTAAACAATTTCATCAAGATTATTACTAGAACCTAATATATATAAGCATTTGAATTTCCCGCCCACTTGAAGCAGAATGGCCAGGGCTACCTGAAACGATGTAAGCTCTTTGATGCGTCCCGCAAAAACTGTTACGTTTCGTACATTACGGAGTGCGATTACGTCTTGTTTATTTAGATGTGACCAGTTGTTGTGTAGCAGAAAATTCTTTTTCTGACGGACAAATCTTGTGATCATATTGTTGTTGTTGCAAATTAATAACAATAATAATAAAGTAGTTTCTTTGCATTTTTGGCTTTTGTTGTAGCTGTAAGATGAATGCCGTGATAGCCCTGTGTCACTTCTGCGAGGCGCACGGCCCCTGCGCCATCTTCTGCACCCAGACGCTGAGGGATACCAAGCTGGAGGACCTGACTCTGGACCAGCAACAGAACCAAAAGACCTGCTCCGCATGCAATTACTCCATGGGACGGAATAACAACGCCATCTACAGCAGGGACACGGAGAGCGGGGCGACCTTTGTGAGCACCAAGGTGGCGGTGCTGCCGGAGGTGGCCAGTTTGGTGAAGCAGGCTGCAGTACTGAGCTTGAGCAACGGAACGGATTCCAGCAAGGATGGCGAGTTTGTGTTCTTTGGAGACTCCGCCCGCGGTCACATCCTAAGCCACACGTTCCGGGTGAGCGACCTGCAGGCACGTGGCTACTCGCAGCTCTTCTCCATCATTGTCCTAATGAAGGACAAGTACTTCCTGCTGAACATCAAACCCTTCCTGGCGGAACACCTCAAGAAGGTCTCCTCGGAGCTGCAGGCAGCGGCCAGGAAAACGAAAGAGGCCGAGGAACTCACATGCTCGGCCAGGCAGAGACGCCTCTCGGGTGCACAGATCCTGCTGTCAAGGTCCCTGCTGGAGCTCACTGGCGAAGAGCACATATTCGCCCAGCTGCACTCTCACTTCTCGTGGCTCCTGCTGGCCGGATCCCGCTTCCTAACCGAGCATGTGACCTTCGGGAATCTGCCTTGGTTGCCGCCACAGAGCAGTGGCCGTCCGCCTGCCCAGCGCCTAACCTACAACAGCTCCACCCTGCCCATGATTGAAAGCATCGATGACCCAGATCTTGAAGAGTTCTTTTCGCTGCGGCATCTAAAGAGCGTAGTGCGTAAGGAAGAGTTCGCCACGGTGTGCTATTGCGCCTTGACTGGCGTCAAGATCGTGGTGCGCGGGGATCCCAGAAAAACCTTCCGGTTCATGGTGTGCCTTAAGAAACTGCTGCCCGAGCCCATGCACAATCTTATGCGGATTGACGCCCAGCATCAGCACTCCATTAGCTCAGAGTATAAGATCATATCAGTGTCCAACGATATAGCCGTTCCCATGGCCAGTGCCTCCGTATACAGAATAGATTTCCTAGACAAGCACGTCAACGGGCACGAGGTGACCGTCAAGTGGCCGGGAGAGTTGCCCAGAAAGTGTAAGCATCTTTCCAACAGGAAAACATCCTAATCCATCTCTAAACTAATAAATCCTCTCCCTCTAGTGCCCGATCTCATGGTGAAGCTGCTGAAGGCCGTGGAGGAGAATAATTTTACAGAACTGGTGCTCAACAAACAGACCAAGGTGCTCATCGAAGAGTGGAAGAAGTATGTAGTCCTCGTATTATTCCAAGTATTCCACATCTTATCATTCGTATCTCACCGACAGTAAAGTGACCTGCCTCAATCACGCCAAATCCAGCAGCGTCCAGGGTAAACTAAAGAAGGTGCTGGGTGTGCAGCCACACGATCAGCCGGTGGTCAATTACTGGAGCACGCATCTGCACTAGCCGCTGGAGAGGCGCACACCACACACTTTTGTACATTGCTCAAGAACATTCTTTTCACCTTTTGGAATAAAACCACTTTATTGCCACGGCGAGTACGCGACGGCGAGACAAATCAATATCTTAACCAAAAGGGTGCCAAATCCAGTCCAGCCAGCAAGGTGTTTACTTCTTGTAGCCGCAGCTGGAACGACGACCACGAGCGCGCTCGAACTTGCGTCCCTTGGAACGGACATAGGGGCGGGTGTGCGAGTGGGGCACACCGGGCGCCTTGCCGAAGTGCTTGCAGGCAGTGCGGGCAGTACGCTTGCCCTGCAGCAGCAGGGTGTTCTTGCCGGTGGGCGAGCGCAGAGCGAGCTGATCGAAGGTCAGGACCTCGCCGCCAGCCTTCAGGATGCGCTCCCGGGCGGTCTGGGTGACGTGCAGGGCGCACACCGTAACCTTAGGGACAACCAGCAGACGGGCATCGTCGGTGACGGTACCAACAACCACGATGGTAGACTCGGGCTGGTTGGCAGCCTTGAAGAAGCGAGCGATGCGCTGCAGCGATAGTGGCGGCCGGTTGATCTTGCTCATGAACAAACGCTTCAGGATGATGCGGTTGAACTTCTTGTTGGTGCGGCGCTGCAGGAAGCGGTACAGCTGCAAAGACAATGAAAAAATCACGTTAATGCCACGTTCAATAGGGTTTGTCCACCATCTTGGCCTTACCTTGACGAGCAGACGCAGGTAAACATCCTGGGATTTGGGCTCGGTTCTGCGAACCTTGCGATCGTACTTGTGGTTGATATCAATACCCTGCAAAGGAAATACGATTAGCACTAGGCGTGTCGTAGCCGCGGCAACGCATTTTCCCGATTCACTTTGAATAACTTGCAGCCATTTGCGAGATGTTTACAAATTATTTTTCAGTTTTCGTTATTTGCGTTTCTTACCATTTCGGCGACCGGAAAAAGAAAGAGAGGTGCTAACAAAACATCGGAATACTATCGATACTATCGATGATGGTTGTCGTTTTCACAACATCGAACTTTTGAATTATCGATGTATTGATAAAATAAATAATAATTAACGCTCCAAACGTTTATTTTCTAAATAAACAACGAACTACATTTGATTCTTATACTAATTATTAAAACATATTCCTTGAAATAATATTCTGAATTTAATTTTGAGTTCTGTATGCTTATTAAAAACACTGCCTATTTCGGCAGAAGTCTGTGTGGATTGCAAAGGCTGACAGTTGCTATTTTTTCTTAAATAAATAAATAAATAAATAAAACCTTACAGTATGTTCTCTTAAAAATTTGAAATTAATGAAATTTTTCCTTTTGTATTATTTAAGAATAAGATAATTGATTAACATCAAATAATATATATAAAAATATATTTTTTTTTTTTCTAACCTTAAAAATATATGATTATTTACGTTTTAGTTAGTTTTTTTATTACTTAATATTAAGACAATATATACAAAAAATCATATATGTGATTTTTTCAGTTTTTCAATTTAATTCTATACTCTTAAATGTTAACTAATTTTTGAAAACATTAAATATAATAATTACAATTATATATAATATAATAATAATATAATTCTTTTAATGTAAAATATATATAATATATGTGCACTTCGTAAAATAACGATAGTATCCATGTTTAATTCTTAAAAACATTAAGAAAATCGATAGTGGAAAACATCGATTTTTTGCCAGCTCTAACTTTAACCGAAAAGAAAACGAGCTTTCTAGAGGTGCAAAAACCTCGATGTATGGAGACATTGATGTTTTTGATGTTTTTCACCTATCGATGTTTTAAAATAATTAAATAATATATTTAAAATAATTGAAAAGCATACTTAAGGTTGTCCTATGACACATAATTAATTTCCAAATTGTTAAAATTATAGTTTTCTTTATATTCAACTATAATCCATTATGACACTAAAATCAAATATAATCAGAAAAAATGCAAGTATGCGGAATAGAGTTTTTACATCAATTTTCAATGCAATTTAAATTAATATGAATTTGTCGTTCATATATTAAATTATGAGAATAATACATCAAAAACGCAATATTAGCGAAGCTTCGTGTAAGAAATACTCAAATGCCACGAATATACAAATTTGTTATTTTATTTAATAAAAAGATCTAAGATATACAATTACAAACAACAAAAGATTAAAAACATCGGCTTACCAAAGTTAAATTATCATTTTATTTATTATTTCTTTAGTTAATTATTTTATTTTGCAACGCAAAAACCATAACCTTCATTAAAATATTTTTATCGGCTTAGCTTTATACAAATCGGACTACTAGCTCAAATAGCAATTATTAGAGCGTTTAAAAATGTATCAACATTTGTTATATATTCCTTATTCTATAACACATAAAATCGATGAGGTTAAATTTAAAACTGCAAACGTACACTTGTATTGTTTTATATTGTTTCAGTTAAAATTGTTTTTATTATTTTAATTTATTAAAATTTATTGATTTTATTCAGATTATAGATAATAAATATATATTAATATTTATAAATAATATGTAAATTAAATATTTCTAGTAAGACCGTCAAGTATTAGCACAAACGTCTGCTCTGGTCACACTGAAAATACCGATGGCAGCGAATTTACGTAAACCAATTGTGAGTAAAAACTATTAATTATAAATGAAATGAAACGACCTTGTATTTTGTAGGTAGCGGGAAGCCTGCAGAGGTTTTTCGCATCCGCCGCTAAGGCTGCAAAAGCCAAGCCCAAGAAGACCAGCTCTATAGCCGCTGTCGGCGAATCTATTGCCTCCAGGGGGTATGTTTTTCGCACATTTTTACTGAACACATTTGTTAATATCCTCATGCTTGTAGTTTTCTGCGTCCTCACAAGCCTTACACACCACCCAGCGATGCGGCGGAACGTGTACGATCCGTGGCCGCCACTCTACAGTTGAAAGGCGACAAGCTGGAGAACCTGTCTGAGAAGTTCAAATTCCTATCCGCCTGCTTCCAGGAACTGCAGCACGGAGTGCCCAACTCCCAGGTGCACGAACTGCGTACTTTGTCCGATGTTATCGCCTTTTACGAGACGCCCGTGGACACAACAGTTCCACTGGATGCCCTGAAACGTGTTGAGCTGCCTGAGAATCTGCACATCCAGTACGAGTACTTGCGCTTTAATCCCGAGACGGACACCAAGTTTGGGGGCAAGACAGCCTTCCCCAAGAGCTCCACGCTGGTCACGGGTCTTAAGTACCGCGGCAAGTATGAGGGAAATGAGGCCAAGCGATCTTGGCCCTAGAAGCACCCATCAGTTAGTTGTTATGGTATTACATTTAATAAATATCGTGTATCTAAAAGTGCTGAGATACAGTTTGCACCAAATCGGAGTTGTAAATGCTCTCCAAAGCGCCCAAGACACGCTTATCTCCAAGCAGCTCCATCAGTCGTTTGTCCTCCTTCACCGCCTCAAATGTGGGATACATTAACTCGCAGTTGATCGCTGTCACCGCCGGCTTGTTCATGATGCTCAAAATCTTCTTCTGCAGCTCAATCTCTGGATCAGGAGCCTTAAGCTTGGCCAGAGCATTGGCCTCGCCAACCTCACGCTTTAGCTGCTCCTCCCGCTCCTTCTCCAGATAGTTAATGATCACTTCATACTGCGAAGCCGTCAGGGGATGGCTGTCTGCTAATCTCTCAATGAGCTCTTGCATGTGATCGGGATGTCGCCGCTGTCCCTTGTGAACGGCTGTGGTCACTCCTGGTGTTAAAGCATCACGTTGTTGCTTTTGCCGAAAATCGGTGGCAACCAAAGTGATAGCATCCTCAAGCGGCATATTACGATGCTCGGCAGGCACCCCATAGAGGATATTTACTGTGATGCTGTTCAGTTCCTCGTGCTGCGGCGTGACCAAAACGGCATAAAGGCAGCCCCGTGAGGAGATATTGGCCAACACCTTGCCCAGCAACACGTCTTCGTTTGGAAAGAGCACATCCACCCGAAGGCCGGCGTTCTTTAGCCGCTCCTCAACGTACTCCGCGTACTTGCTGCCGGAAAAATTTAATGAAAACTTAAATGAGGCCAATGCCGACCACCACTTACGTGTTTTCCCGATTGACCACTATGATCTCGCAATCATTAATCAACGGCTGACCAGCTGCAGCCGCTGCGGCGGACATGACAATCCCACCCTGCACCGTAACCTGTGCGTTTTTCATTTGGTTTTTCTTGGCAATCGCGTTGGCCTGTTTCGACTTAATGCTAGCGTTGCGCACCGTGAGCACGTGCGACTTAAAGGTTGACTTGTTCAGAGCAGCAGCGGCTTTATTGGCCGTTTCCTCCGCTTCGAACTGCACGAATCCGTAGTTTTTCTGAACCATGGATCCTACAACCTTTCCATACGGCTGGCAGATGCTCACCAGCTCCTCGCGTGTGCATATGGGCAGGTTTCCCAAAAAGATACGGTTATGTACCAAGGCCGGATCCTTCGTTATATTGTAGCCCTGAACAGAATCGCTCATAATTTAAAGAAATTCAGTTTTTCAGGACTCCCGAAAAAAAAACAATTATTTACAATTTACAATGTGGCCAGATCAATGTTGCCACAAAAAGGCAGATTATGAGCATTGCTAGGGTTGTCAGCATGCATGAATCTTATGATAATAATATTATTTGTAATTTATTTATTCTTGAAGTTATAAGATACTGTACTGTAATAAGGGTTATAACTTATCTTTTTAGTACTCTTGACTCAGTTCTAATTGTTACATTGTTCATTCTAAATAAAGTGGTTCACTATAAAACAGTTCAAAATTTTCTGAAAGAAAACGTGTTCAATGTAATATGCAAACACAAGGCTTTGATTGTAAAAAAAATTTGTCGCTTTCTTTGAGTTGAAAGGAAAAATGTCTTTAATGTTTTAATAGTTAATGGGTTACAAATAATTACAATTTCTAATCGTTTACAAGGTCTTGTTGCAAATCTGAAACATTTTAAAAATTATTATTCCACGCAGAACTGCATACAAATTTGTGTATATAACAGATTATTATTATTATAATAATTTACTTTTATTAAGTGCTTGCCATATAACATTTTGTTTAATAGTTAACACCAAATAGATTTTTTTCCCAATTTTGTCTATGAAAATCGAACTGGTTTCGCCTTAATTACTTAAACGATTTATATATTTGTATTAAAATGTGAAAAACTATTTGCACTTGAAATTGGAATATTATTTATTGCCATAGAATTTGAATCAATTTAATTTTAAACACATTTAATCTTTATAAAAAAATATATATAAAATAAAGGTTACATTTTTAACATTCAAACTTAAATGTTTTATTTTTAATTGTGTTTTAAATATTTAATAAAAAAATTTAATCATAATTACTTAATAAAATAAACTTCATAACTAAAATTACGAGCAGGTGGTAACTCTGAAAGCTATTCGATTAAAATTGTGTTATCGTATTTATTTATCTTTCAACGGAAGTTTTAAACATGTATTTCAATATTTGGTCTATTGATTCAACGCATTAAACATAATGCATAGGTTGCCGCCACCGACTCCCAGTCCGGTCAGCACATACGGCTCCGATCTCGAATACAAAGGATATGTCGGCTCGCAAATCCTGCGCAGGTCGCAGCGGCTGATCGACAAGGAAAATCAGGAATTGGCCAGGACTGCAACTCCAAAATGTCATTCTCCGCAATTGTTTGGGGAATCCGATGATATTTACAGTCAGCTACTCTGTCAGCAGGAGAAATCATCGTCTAAAGTGGTCCACTTGAAGAAAACTGATGAGGTGCACCCAAAATCTGTGGATCAGATTGGGCACGCCAAAGCTCCGGTCAAGTTGGTACACCTGAATGAACCAGAATCCTCCGATAAAATTATCCACTTAAAACATTCGAATCAAATCCTATGCTTGAAGTCGTCAGTTAATATTCAGACCTCAGCGAAGATTCTGCACTTAAAGCAGCTTGAGGAAGTCCCGAAAGCTGATCCCCAGAAAAATGTCGAGAACTCTACGCCATCAGAGGACATCAAGAAAACATCCAAGAAACTCCAGGAAGCTGTACCCCAGAAAAGCCGGAAAAGGAAGAGCATCTATCAGCCGAGTTCACAGCCAGCAGCAAAGATACGTTCAAGAACTCCGTTAAATCGCCACGCAGCAGTCAAGACACCGCTCTCCAAAAAGTATTTAAGCTTATCCCCGACCTCCTCCCAATCAAAGCTTCCTTCCAAGTATCCAGAACATTTTGACAAGCAGCTGAAGGACATTAATTTGCAAGTTAAATCGGAGCCGGCGCGGGTTCCACTTCAGGATTTGTGTCCCACTCCTGAACGTAGCCCTATCGCAGCCACACATGGCGGAATTTGGAACAAATCGTCCCCAACTGTGGATTCTGAGTGCTCCTTGACAATCTCCTTGAGCGATTCCATATGCGAGATCTTCGGTTCCAAGGATGTTAATGACATATTGAATATTAAGAGTCCGCGGCAGTATATTCTAATCGAGGAGCATCTGCCGGCCGTGGCCACCATGCTGAATGTGGACGTGGATCGCCTGCGTAATGTTTTGGAAATTACGCAGCGTTTGAGCCACGAGCAGATTTTGGGATTTCCCATAAAGACGGAGCCAGCATCATCATCTGCCGATGGTTCAGTTCCAAATTAGTGAATCCTTCAGGTCTAGTTCTTAACCATTCGCTATCTGTATACTTCTTGTAGGTTAATAGGGTTAAATCATGTCCCAGCTCATTCCTAGAGTATCTGGATCTGAACCTAGTTTCAAATTTAAAATGTATTCTTCATCTTTGTATATTTTTAAGTTGTATTTAATTTGTTGTTTTTGTTTCTTGTTGTTGTTATTTTGCCTTAGACTTTCAGAGTGCACAATTTCTTTAAACCTTTTACTTTGTTGTATATTTTAAGTTACTAATGCTAAACGTTATCTAGACTTTATTATACTTCATAATTGGTTTGCTTTCCTTTCTATGACAATGCAGCAGCAATCAATCAATCGATCTGGTTTCTGTTATCTGTTCTCCGTTTATGTTTCTACGAGTTCTTTGTTTAATATTTGTTTACTCTGTTCAACGTATATACAACCGCCTGGATTTAGAGTTACACCTGCCTCCTAGTAGTCGCTGTCGTAGCTGCCGTCCTGCTGCGCCTGCGTGGAGTCGTCCGATCGTTCCGAGGTGGGCTCCAGATCAACATCGAGAGCTGTATTGTTGGTCGGACAACAGCTGGGATGGGCCATAGAGTCGAAGGCATCTTTGATTTGATTGTTGGCACCCTTGGGATCCAGCTCGGTGGCCCAGCTGAAGTGCATCAGCGCCAGATCCATGTTGCCGAGCGTCTTGTGTATCTTGCCGATCAGATAGAACACCACAGACTCCTTGGGCACGACCTCTTTGAGCTCCTCCAGCTCGCGCAGCGCCTCCTGGTACTTGCCCAGCGAGAAGTAGATGGAGCCGCGATGGAATCGGGTCAGTGGGTTTTTGGGATCCAGCGTCGCGGCCGTATTTAGCGTCTGAAGCGATAAATCCTTCTTTTTCATATAGAACTGCATGGCGCCGATGTGCACCAGGATCACCGAGTTCTGCGGATTGATTTTCAAAGCTTTAACGTAGTGTTTTTCCGCCTGCTCATACTTCTCCTGCTTGGAGTATATGGTGCCGATGCCGAACCAGGCATTATAGTGACGCGGATCCCTGACCACGGCGGCTCGGAAGTAATCCATCGCCTTGTCGAATTCCTCGGTGAGAACGAGCTCGTGACCTAACAGCGTATAGCTGTAGACGAAGTCCGGATCTACTTGCACCGCGCGTTTGAAGAACTTGATTGCCGTCTCGTGTTCCTTTTGCAGCGAGAAGCAATTGCCGGACACACACCAGGTCACCGGGCTGGTCTTGTCCTGGTTTATTAGATCCTGTGCCAACGCTGAGAGTTCCACTTCGCGCTGCAGATGCCACAGGGATGAAGAGTAGATCTCCATGTACTCCAAGCGACGCGGTTCCGCCTTGTGGATCCTCTCAAAGATCTCCACTGCCGCCTCATAGTCTCGCATCTCATACCGAGCTATTCCAATGAGCGACTGCACCCAGCTGGATTTCAGGTGGTGCTTTGGTATCGTCGTCTCCAGCTGCTTCACAGCCGCCTTGCACTGGAAGTTGGATAGTAGCTGGTAGGCTTCTGCTAAGTTTTGAAGCAGGACCATCAGCCCATCCGCCGATTGCTTCTTGAGTCCCAGAAGCTGGTGAGCCATCGTTTGGGCGTTATTTAGGCTGTTGTTCAGCAGTACTTTGGCCTCCTCGGCAGCACTCCGTCCGCCGCTGTTGTTAAGTGCGCCCGAGGAGGTGATGGTCTCCACCTTCTCCTTGCGCTTCTCGGACAGGTGATGGGACTTTTCCTCAATCAGTTCGTTATTCAGACAGATCTTGGTCATCCGTGACTTGGTTTTCCGAGGCGGTGAGCGTGGCTGCACGAACTTATTGGCTATGTTGGGCGACTTATTGTTCTCCTTGACCGAGTAGGCAGAGTTGCTGAACAGCCGCGAACTGCGGCGCACTGCCGCGTTGGGATTGGGCGGCACATTCAGATTCCCATTGTTGCCCACATTATTATTGTTCGGAGTGCGCGGGGTTATGTTTCCGGCCTGCGTGAAGACGGCGGGTTTATTGAGGCTGCCATCCTTGCGGTTGATTAGGCCGCCGACATGAGTCTTTAGCTTCTTGCCCATCATCTTGGGCTCCTGATTGACCTCGGCCAGCATCTGTGGCATCGGTGAGTAGCTGACATTCATCACAGGAGTATGAAGGCCAATGATGGAGCCATCTCCGGTGGGACAGGGACTAGTCAGTGGCATAACGCCGAAGCTGGGAGTGGGCGGTGTAATGGCCGATAGGTATTTAAACTGTCTCCGGAAGGGTGTGCCGCCGGTCATGTCGTATAGCTGCTGCTGCTGAGCTACCGGGTCCTGGGTATAACCCATGGGTGTATCTTCCAGCATCGCCAGCATGCTGGAGTTCTGCACCACGCTACCGCCGCGCAGCATGCTGATCGAGCTATTGAGATTGTTGTTATTATTGTTGTTGTTATTGATGGGCGTCACCATGTTGCTGTTGCTATTGTGGTTCTGATTCTGGTTGAGTAGCTGCACCGGCTGCTGATTTTGGTTCTGCTGCTGTTGCTGCTGATCCCCGGCGTGGTTAGGATGTAGTTGGAGATATTGCTTAGGTTCGTTATGAGTGACTGATGCACCTGCTGCTGGGGATTCTGCTGCTCGGCGCCAAACACCACCATGGAGTTGGCGTTTGCACTGCTGCCCTGGCAGGTGTTGAACACGTCCGTGCTCTGTATTTGGAATGTGGCCGCCGCATCCGTGTCCTGGCCCAGCAGGCACAGATCAGCGAAGGCATGCCACATGAAGGGATTCAGCTTAAGCGCCCGCCGCAGCGCACTGACCGCCAGTTTGTTGCGCTCGGTCAGCACGCAGATCTGCGCCATCAGTTGGTATGCGAAGCACGCCAGTCTCCAAAGTCCCGCTGCAGCTCGTCAAAGTTCTTGGCATCCCCGAATCCCGACGAGATCAGCGCGCTCTCGGCTTCAGAATATTTCTTCAGCTCGAAGGCACATTTGGCCTGCAAAAAGCGGCACTGCGGCGAGCTGCGTCCCTGCTCCTTGAGCAGCCAGTAAGCCTGGTGCACCTTGTTGAAGCGGTAGTAGCTCGTGGCCAGCAGGAATACAGTCTCGTCGCTCTCCACTGCAAATAAACCCAAGGAGACAGTCAGTTATGTATTCGCCAAGACCCGAGACCTTGACCCTTTACCTTCAGAGTATAGGCGCTCCGCCAGGAAAACAGCATCCTTGAGGTCGTAGTAGTTCATGCAATGCCATATGGCGGCCTTAAATGGTGAAAAGGAGAGAGTTCGATGGATTACAACAAGCCAGGGGGTCTGGGGAGGCATCGATTTACCTGCACGGGCTCTTGGATCATCATGTCTAGTTTGACGGCGACTTCCGAAAATCCCTCCGTGCTCTCAGTTCTACGTTCCGGTGGCTGGCAGCGACTTCTAATTCTTTGTTCACAATAATTTAAGCATGCGGTGTGTACAAATCGAACAAATTATCATGTCGCCACTCGCATACGGTTCGTCTGGCGAATTTTCCAAACAATATTACAGTGTTACAAGTACGTTGCAAAAAGAAAAAGTGTGCTGTGTGTGATTGGCGTGTGTAACCCGAATGCGGATGCGGGGGCTTGGGGCGCTCCAGGCGGCGGCGTCGTTTGCGATGGCGGTGTCGGCGGCGGCAGCGCTGCTCTCGCTACCCTGACCACTCCACTCCACTTCCACTTTTTAATATTGCAATTGGTTTGAGTCGAGCCTTCGCTCAGCTTCGCCTTCTGTACACACACACACTGTGGTCGGGGGGTCGCTTTTCGACACGGCTTTTCGGGGGTTTGCTGTCGTTAGAGGCGCACACGAATAAGATCTGCAAACGGCAACGACTTCAGGCTAACCTTGGCCACATTTTAACTATTAATAATTAACTGCATTCGCGGTGCATTCTATTTTAAAAGCAAAAACTAAAATTGCTCTGCCGCGAGCTGCAAAAACATCGTTATTGCTATCGTTATGACTATCGTCTCGCGCTGGCGATATTACAAAAACTCCCTGTCCATACTAAAATATCGATAATGTTCATGTTGAGCACGCGACCCTGCCTATCGATGCCCACAGCGTGACCGTTTGAAAAAGTCACGAAATACTCCAAAGACGATCTATTTGGAAAGTTTTTTCACTGTTAAGTATTCCAACGTAAAAGTTAACAAATTAAAACTAAAGCTAAAATAATTATATAAAAATAAATTTATAATAAAGATAAAAGAAATAGTACACGAGCCATCAAAAGCTACGATAGTTCCCTGTGAATGGCAATTAAATGTCAAATATCGTGTTATCGAACACAAATTAAAAATAAATTTGGAAAATTTATCAAGCAATTAATTAACCCCCATCATCATCAAAAAAAGGTTGTCTAATCCTATCATACATAAATATAAATAAGTTGTTCTGAAAAATCTTTTTACTTTAAATATATGATACCATTGCCCAATGTTGAAACAGGATACCTAGCACATTTTAAAGTACCTAAAATCACCATGGTATTGTTAATTTATCTGCCTAAGTGTTTGCTATAATTTCTTCGCAAAAATTATAAAATTATTCAATTTTTACCATAAAGCACTTTGTTAAAATAAAAATTTTCATAAGAATCGAGCAATGGTTTCTTAACAATACCCTTTTATTAAATACCTAGCTTATAATAATTATAATTGTCCCGATCTTCCTACTGCGAGTCGCTGGAACTGGAACTGGAGCTGTCGGTGGACATCACCTCCACATCGTCCTGGGTCCTCGTTTCCAGGGCCACAGTGTTACCCGAAGCACCCATAGTCATGTGCAACTCGCCCAGATTCCAATTGAATTGGTTTTGGAAGGCATTTGGCACTTCACCGCCTGCCCCACTTCCACTGCCGCTTCCCGCGCTGCCGGAGAGAGATCGTTGCTGCTCAGAGGGATCCCACTGTTTTGATGCGTTACAAGTCCTCCATTGATATTCTGATCGGTCTTGCCCAGGAGACCGTTTCTCATCTCAATGTCAGTAGGATACGGTCTTCGTAGGTCTCCGATGCACCAGGTAAAGGAGCACTAACCGCATTGGCGGAACTAATCCGATGAGCGTACTTGATAAGCTCCTCTGAAGACACCGGTCTCTTGTTAGCCTGGTTTATGCTAGCCAGCTTTGGCGCGCCTGGAATATGGCTGTGGATAAGATGAGCTCCGCATCCTTCAGAGACTTCTGCAGCTTCTGTATCTCCCGGTCCTGATCCCAGTTGAGAAATTCATTAGAAATACTGGATACCTTTTTGATTAGACAGTTACTCACGTGAACCTCCACCTTGGCACGCAACTTGTCCATTGCCTCCTCAACTTTGGCCTGCTCTTCCGCCAGTTCCAGCATTTTCCGGAACTCTTCATCTTTGGCGACCAGCAAGTCCAGCAGGTCTCCCAGCTCTGTGCTTGATATCTTCTGGTGTGCCTGCTCGATCAGTTCCTTGGCTATCACCTCGATGTCGTCGATTAGCAGGAGCAGACGCTCCTTTGTGCTCAGGTGAAAGGCCATATTTGCAGCAATTCGCAAATTTTAAGATTTGTTTACTATTTCATTAAAACGCAGTGAGACCGTAATGGGAAATCCATTTATTACCAAAATTCTTCACTACGATACGTAAAAAATACCACCACGTAATAAAAACGGAATAAAACGTAAACGTAATAAAGATGTAATAAAGTGGTTGCCAGATATGACTTGGGGCTGTGTTGCCATATAGTTTTAAAAGAATTTACATTTCAAATTCAAAATGAAAAGCTTGCGAAGTTAAAAGGTGATTTTTTACTATTTAACACGTTATAAATTAATGAAAATTGTCCACATTGTGTTGTTTGTATTACGTATTACTCGTTTGTTTATTTTTCATGTGTTACAAAGGATTTGCAGTTACAATTTTAGCATAAAACTCTATCGTTGATTAGCCGGACGAGCGGTAAACCTTCTCAAATATGGCAGATTACAATACTCTCATGTATCCTCTCGTTTCCGTCCCGTTTCTCTCTTGAAACATACAAACTAGCAAGCAACTTGCAGCAGGTACGTTGGAGGGCCTTGTTAATAACCGTTTAGAACTAGTACGTCGTCTTACAATTAGTTAAGATATAAGTTTTATATACGTTTCTATGGAAATATTCTGCCAGAGAGAGACTCCACTCCGCATTCCCCATAAATAACAAAAATCAGTAGCGCTGGCTCTCGCGGTCCGAGTACTTGCCACTCAGCTTGCTGACCGAATACGATCGGAGTAGGCATCGTATTGTCCGCCTTGTAGTTGATCTCCTGCGGCGTGTATCCGATGTTCTTCTGCCAGTGTCGCGTCCAGTAGAGATCCTCGTTACGCACCTGGGACGGTGTCCTGGCGTCCCGGAACACATACACGCAGTAGATCATGCAGCCAATCAGGGTGAGGAAGCCGAAGATGAGGAACACAATGCCCAGTATCCACACATACAGCGGCTCGTAGAACTGCACCACAATAACGAAGCCCAGCGTGACCAGGATCAGGCCCAGGTTAAGCAGCAGCATCAGACAACAGACGCCTTGACATTCGGACAAAAGGATTCGGAGCGGACATTGTCTCAATCTTGGCCCACGCCTGGTCGTGGACCGGGCACTGCGCCCCGTCTTGGCTGTGCTGGCCACCGAATAGACACTCCGCGGTGCTCCACGCGACACCGGACGTTGGCTGTAACGACTGTAAAGTAAGAAATAAGTTAGTACTTTCTTTAAATATTTTAAAGAATTTTCCTATTTGAACTAGGATATCAAAGTACTTGCCTGATTTCAGAGGGCGCCTTGTAGGCGGCACTGGTCACATAGATGTCACTGCCAGCATCCCCGGCCTGGTCATAGCTAAGCGCGGATGGGGCCCGGGGCGGTTGGCGCGTGGGCGGTGGCCCGCTGAGCGAACGGGGACCCCCGTTGTCCGGCGAACTGGAGAGCCCCATCTGACTGTGGCTGTAGCTGCTCTGGAGGTGCTGGTGGTGGCCATTGCCATTGCCCGCTGAGGAGGAGCGCTTCTTGCGCGACGGATTGTAGTGATGCGACTGCGGTGAGATCCGCTCGTGGGTCAGCGTGTACTCCGAGTAGGTGCGCTCGGAGGGGGCACGATGCGAATGGGTCTCATCGCCATCGGTGGAGTAGCCGCGATTGGAGTGCACGTAGGGCGGATCCGGCGTGAGGCGGCCGTGCGTGGCCACATAATGGCTGCCCTTCAACCTGTAATGGTAATTGGAAGGTAAATGAGTTACCACCGATTGGCTGCTAAGTGGTCGCGATTCCGGTGCTCCGCAACTCCTCAACTCTTCGACTTTGCTACTCACTTCTTCACTTGTCTCTCATGCATTCCGCTGCTGTCCCGTCTGTTGCTTCGGAAATCTCCTTGTGTCGGCGCTCCTCTTCCGCTGATTGACTGCTAATGGACCCGTCTAGCAATTCTCAGAGATTCCTGCAACAGAGTAAATAAAACACATGGGATTAGCTCTTTGGCTTCGTAGCAATTAGCCTTTTACTTTATCGGCCAGTTTAGAACTTTTAATTAAAGCGACGAAAGTTTGAGGACGCTTTGTCTAAAGTAAAATTCGGACTGCAACCAAACTGTATGAAATAAAAAGCTAACTAGTTTTTATACCCTTGAAGGGTAGTATAACTTTAGTCAGAAGTTTGCAATTTAAGATTCGTCCCAATGATACAATTGTAAGCAGCAAGTATTTACGCACTTCGGAAAGGCTCGGATCAAACATATATATATTATATTATATTATATATTATAGCTGCCATAGGAACGAACGTTCCATGTTTTTCTATCTCTCTCTCTCTCTCTCTCTGTGTAACTCTTGCTCTCCATCTCTCACTGTGTGTCTCTACCGATTACTCTGTCTCTCCATTTCTCTCGGCATTTCTCCCTCTCTCTCACTTTCTCTGCTCTCTTCACTCGGACAGTATAAATAGAGGCACTGCTGTCGCCGCGACTTCAGTCTGTGCGGGGGGTACCCAGTGTTTACATCTATGGTGACGGTGATAGTGATAGTGATTCGACCTCGACAACATGACGTGGCCAACGCTATATATCTGGATAACGAGGAAGAAGCTCACTTTGATGACAAATTGACGACAAGGATAGTGCGGTAAGTCTTAACCATGATAATTGTATCATATATGTTTGTATATATATATATATGGTACTAGAGGGATTAGTTTTGAGTCTAGAATAAGCTCATTACATAGCTATGCATTTAGTTTCTAATTAAAAACCTTATTGCCACGAACTCCTAATTAACTCTTACTTAATTTTAACTGAAAGTGATACAACATTTTGTGTTTGGGGCATCCGTGCGGGTATTATAATTTTAGTCAGCAGCTTCCAAAGTAGTGAATGAGTCATTTTCGACCCTATAATCATATATATTCTTGATCAGCAGTTTAAGATTTGATCCTATTATTCTGATTCTAAATTGCTAGGGTATAAAAACTTAGGCTTCCCGCAGATATTTTCCTTCCTTGTTATATTTTACAAACTGAAACGTAAAGTTTTATGTTTTTTTTAGTTCCGTGCTTTGGCCTCGGAAAAATTCATGATAAAATATTTTATTGCCAGAACTAAACACTGCCACATAAAAATTAAGTTATGAAATTTTAGGTTCAACACAATATTTTTCAAATTGCAAATAGTTTTCTGTACTAATAAGAAAGGTAATATTCAATTTTAAGGTAAATGAAATTTCATACTTCAGTTCTTTTATTCTCGATGCAGTTCATAACTTACAGTTCCAGCAAAATAAATTTTTATAAAATTCCCCACTCCCTTTCCCCTACATTTAACATCTTGGCCTTTATAATATCTTTCGCCAGCCAAGAGTGAATGCAAATTTAAATCGAGGACAAAGAATCATAAACAAGAAACAATTTCGATTAGCTTTTGAATCGTTGGAGGTTGGCATTAATGTTGAAAGACCGACCGGCCATTAAGCTGCAATCCCAACCGACTTGGCGTAAACTTCTTGTGCGCCTTGCATAACTTATATCAATTTATGATCCTTCAGCGAGCGGAGGACACACCCAGCCAGCCTTAATGATTGCAACTGCAGTTCGTTGCACTTTCCGCCCCGTGTCCCGTTAAATTCGTGTTGCACTCTCTTCTGGTTCCATTCCCGCCTCCTCCTCCATCAGCACCACCTCCGCAGTCCACCGCAGCCACTCAAAAAGTTGGAGAAATTCCCTCTTTCAAGTTCATGGCAGGGAAATTGAAGTTGCCCGTCCTTCGGTGCCATTCGCCTGCAATTTGTCACTTGGTCACGTAGCTCTCGGTTCTCGCTGGGTGCGTCACTCCATCCAAGGTGACAGTTGATAAAGGGAGCGCCGGCTAAGGGCAAAACTGGTTACACACGCCGCAAACTTAATCTCTGGCCGATGTTTTCCATGAATTTGTTTACGCACCCAGGCAGAGCATAAATCAGCATATATTTTATGACACTCGGAATATGTCAATCAGCAGCAGGTAACATATTTTTCGCATCAAACTACATTCAATGCCATAATTGGTAGGAATAAGAGTTTCTTAAAGGTTTTGAATAATCAAAGGCATTCATGAAACTTAATTAGGTTCTCCTAACTTCATTCCTTTATTTTTTAAGGTGCATCATTAACGCCTTGATTCTTTTATGACATTTAAATATGTCACTTATATATTCTCCAACAAGTAAAGGCTTTTCTTGTATAAAAGTAATAAGAACCAGTTTGAAAAGGTTGTCTATAATAAAGCATACCACCCCATTGATAAGTATATATTTTTTTCATGACATTCCCATATGTCAATCATCATTGCCTGAAGCAAACTCCTTATCAGAAACATATATATTTTTTTCCATCGACAAATGTGTTTATAATTTGCCATCTTCTTTTGCAGCATATCATTAACGCCTCGCACTGCCAGTGGCTGGCTGATAAAATTGAGTTATTGCCTCGATTAGGCCAATTAAAGGGTGTCGTTATCTAGCCCGTTGGCCTGCTAGGATGGCTCCTCCTGCTCCATACTCCTTCTGCTCCTCCTTCTGCTCCTTCTGCTCCTTCTGCTCCAGCTACTCCTCTAGTGCCATACAGATACTGGCGGGCAGCCTTCTTATTATTTCAGCTGAAGCCAATTTCTGAGTGCATTTCATTTGTTCCCTGCCCGGCGGTCAATCGCGATACAATTGTCAGTTGGGATCTGGATCTGTGGATCTGTGTGGGGGCTCCGGACCGCTCCGGACTGCTCTCTACCGAAACTTTCAAGTTCAATGCGGTGATTTCAGCGCCTGGGGATCCACACACAAACAACACACAACAGCACACACATTTATGGTGTGGGCGGTAACGTCGTCAAATGAAAAATCGAACAGAGCTGGGAGGGGGACTAGGGGGAAACATAAAGAGAAACAGAAATAGCGACCCTTTCATCTGGGTCTTGGGTCTTTGGGTCTCGGATCTCGGAACTCGGGACTCGGGACTGTGTGGTCCCAATGGCTCTGGGTTGGATTTGGACCGCTCCTGACCACTTCTATCATTTGGCGGCCATCAAAGCCGGAGCGAGAGTCACAGCTCTCTCTGTTCGCAACTCCCATGCGTCGGATTTTCAGTCCGCACATTGATTTGTTTATGCGGTTTTCGGGGTTTGTTTTGTTAGGCCTGCTCCGCGTGCCAGCCTTAAAGCCTAAAGCCTTTTCCTTTTGCGGCGCTGCCAAATGGAATGCGAATGCCATTAAAATGTGTTTGCTCTCGCATTTACCTTGGCGTTGGCCAACACCGAGGCCTTAACATTTAACGCCACATAAACAGCCTTAATAAACCGTGAAAGCCTCGAGAACCCGCTCGAGAGCATCGTTATCTCTTGGTGTACAAATATTATGCACTATGCTTATAAGGTACTCTACCCAAGTACACAACGAGAAACCATTTAAATATTATAGTTATTGATATGGATAGGGGGTTTTTATGACCTGTACACTTGAACAACTAGACAAATATTAGTTCAAACGAAATAAAGTATTAATGATAAATAGTTTTACATTAGTTTCAGGTTTATTTTCTTTTGAAAAATAGTTTTCTAAATAAAAATAAATGAATATCCATTAGTATCGAGATTTCCCGCTGTGTACTAAATGTTTTTGCCACCATCTCACTCGTAAAGCATTTTAGATGGTCCAGGTTACATGAGATTTGCATTTTGTCGCTCGACCGTTAACGAGGTGGCGCCTCCATCTCATCTCCATCTCAATCTGACCCCACCACCTTCGCTTTTTGGCCATTGTCTTCGATGGATTTCACAACTTTCGCTGCTTCCGGCGGTGCGGCAACAATGGGTTAAGAGCGGAAGTCGTTGCCAGCGCAAAACGAGAAGTTAATTCGCCGCAATTTGTGTAACACTCGGTTGTCGGGTGTGAGAAGTCGACCGACCACAAAAATGCACTCCACCTCGGTTAACCCACGTCCCACTCCACCGTCCACGTTCACTCCCAATCTGGGGCCATTCCGCCTGTGGTCAAGTGTCATACTCATAAAGGTTGAACGAACGACTTGAACTTGGCAAAGCGATTGCTTTTGCCCATTTGGAGGAGTCAAAGCTGCTCTGTGGTCAGCAAATGCAAATTTCATGGCCAGAGCGGCATATTTTCGGGGCGCGGTTTAGAAAGTTTTCCCCCAATGTTATACACCACATGGATGGATGTGCCTGGAAAAACTGGGGCAAGGCATTCACTAGAACTGCAGGCCTGCGACCGAATATATCTGTAACACTCAACCGCATTTGGAACGCCTTTCACAAAAATCAAATGCTGGGGAAGATCGAAGGCGGAGAAGGAGAAGGAGAAGGAGGTGCAGGTGGAGGCCATTACCTGGCCGAAAAAAATAAATTGCATGCGCTGCTGTGCACCAATCCACAGTCCCATAAATAGCCCCGCGGCGCCACCAGAAGTTGCTAGAATAAATAATAACACACTTTACGTTGTCATTCCCAGAAATTTGAGTCTCTTGTGATATGCATGGGGCAGTAAGTGATCTTTTTAATATCCATAAATCAGCCATTGTATTCGGTTTAGTTTTGAGTCAAGAACAACAAGGAGTTAAGCTGGAATTTGGGAATTTATAACCATGATAGAACAGAGTTGACCAAGGTAGAGCATGAAGAAAAACTAATCAATTTAATGGTCAACAAAAAAGGGGAAAAAATATGTTTACATAGGAATTTGAATGTTTATTTTATTTTTGCCTTGCCTTATTTATAGTTTTCAATAAGTGTTAAGTTATTTATTACTTATTTATATATTTGTTCTTCTTTTTTGATAGTTTACTAGATTTTTGTTGTATATAAAGATCAATATTCTTTGGCATTTTCCTTTCTATTAATAAAGTTTCCTTCCCTCATAAAAAGCTTCAACAGCTACGAAACCACTCTGATATCATAAGTTAATTTTA